TGGATGCAGAATCAGTGCAGTTCTACTAGGCGGACAACAGATAAATATTCACTGTTAAATTCTTGGCACACGTTAGTGGACCGTGAACGCAAACCTTCGCAACGTGCAACGAGATGCACGTGACGGTTGGTGTTGTTTGTGCCGGAGTGCTTAGCTTCAAGGCATGCTCGCGCCTGTTGTGCGTCATATCGGTGGCACAATTTCAGTTCCATGGTGATCAAACACGAGACACAACAGGGACACCTCTTTGAAAAGTCTGCTATGTTTCATTTATGCAGGTCCCGAGTTTTCAACCCGTATAACCTATGTAGACGTAAGGGCAATTAGCACACGAAATACCGTTAAGTTAGTTTGTTTTTTGCTCTTTCTCTATGTGTTTTTAAACGCGAGATAGAGCTGCCATCAGGGAGGACGTCAGCTTGTACACACTGCAGATGCCCATAGGGTTTAATCTTCAGGCAATCAATTCCCAACGTCCTTGCTTGCAACGTGAGCAATCTAAGTTCCATTGTGCTCCTACCATCCGATTGTCTCGGAGGTCGTCGGAATACTTAGCACAAAAAGGCAACTGGTCCTTTAACTAGATATTCGCTGCGACGGTACCGAAAAGCGCGGTGAAAAAGTGTTCGAACATTACTTCTTTTGACTGTTGCTGACATACTTGAGGAATATAACGTCATTTAAATATTTTATGTTGGCCCTCTTTTCAAGATTGAATCCCATAATCTTTGCACCATGACGCCCAGAAACTGGACGTTTTCTTATGCTGGTTATTCGTAAGTGAATTGTATGACGAAGAAGACAGCATTAACACGTTGACGCAGTCGCTTCACTTTGTAGATTCTTATGACAGCAGAGGTATCATCTACGTAGCGGAACAATATTTTGGTCTGCTTGGATTTTTCTAGTCGTTGTGAGGACTATTTCGGCAAGTTGTTCCATTATCCGTAAAGCATAAACAAAGGCAGACCATTTTCAATTTGAAGAAGAACTTGATGTCGAAGATAAGTGGGATAATTTTCTTTTAATATATAAGTACAATTTATGAGATTTCACGCGCCACGGAGGTTGTTTTGCAGTCTTCTATGTTTGGGTATTACAGACAAAAACAGGGGACTCTAGGATGGTCATTTCTGGCTCATTAGCTCTTGCCAACTAGTGATGCCCAACTCCAATGTTGCCTTTGAAATTGCTGCCGCATTCAAGTTTCGAACTCGCGATCTGTCCGGTCAGAGGCGAACGTTCTTACCATTGAGCCTCCGATCTGTCGCTGTATCGCTTACTTTGGTGTCGCCCCCCGGTTTGATCGTTCCGTAGCCTTTTGTAGCATTCTGACCTGCGCTAAGCATGAGCATGTTGGCCGTGACGTGGGTTGACCGCGTGTTGATGCGGTGTGAGCTGGTGTCGGCCCCCTGTGTGTTCGCCCCGTCGCTTCCCGTGGTGTCTCGACTGGTACCTGGTCTGCACACTTTGGCCAAGGTGTTGGAAGTCCGCGTGTTAATCCCGAGTGCGCTAGTGTCGGTCCCCTGAGCGTTCGGTCCATCGTCCCCTGTCGTACCCGGATTTGTTTGCGGCCCCGTTGTTCTATGTTGCGTCCGCCTCCGGATAAGAAGGCCCCCAAAACAACATAGGTACCGGTAAATTTATTTGGCGGTTAAATGAACCGTCGGTTGACATCCAGGCCTCTTTAATCTGCTTTTATGTGTGATCATCACCTCGGCCCACAATTTCAACCGCGTCAAAGTTAAAGTCGTGCCCCGTCTCTGCAGCATGAGTTGCTACCTCCGACTTTGGGTCCAACCTCCTTACGGCTAGCTTATGCTCACGCATTTGCGTTTGTAGTTGTCGGCCGGTAGCCTTTTATCGACGACAGTCCATGATGTCAACTGTCACTTTTGATATTATACTATTTGCAACTCGGCAAAGTCAACTGTATCACGGTCTCTTCTTAAAAAGACCATATGATGAAGACCACATCGTTGAGTTTTAAAAAATGAACTAATACACCAACCAGTGACGTCAATGTCAATTCCAGCCTTTATGTCGACAAATTGTCG